AGCAGGAATTTCCTCTCTAAGTAAAAGCTTAAATATGCTACAATTGCTTAAACCAGAACCCTGTCATGTTAGTGCCTCCGAAGGAAAGCTGCCCTTGATGAGAGATTTTCCTGAGGCGTTTGTAACCCAACCACTCCATGGGTGCAAAATTGAAGAGCTCTACAGTGTGTTTTTCCCCTTAGGGACAAAACACCTTTTGTACAGGGCTGGCAACTGGGACTGAGATAAGTGAAGAATTCGAGCATCTCCTAACAAGGCTGCAAGAAGAGCTCCTCATTATCGTTTAGCCCTTGGAAAGCCAGGCGAGGATCAAAAGAGCACTGGGTATAATAAATATCCATCATAAAAGTGACAGACCGTTCCCTTTGCAGCAGGTAGGAGGAGAGGCAGCTCTGCGGGTGCAGCTGTGCGCCGATGCCCGTGGGGGGGGAGGTTGCCCCCGGGGGGCAGAAGGCTTTGCCACGCCGTGCCTCTGCCCTAAAACGCTGTTATTATTCAGGCAACGGTTTCTGACGTGTTCTGCCTTAAAAAGGAATGAGTTAAAAACTCGTAGGAATCCATTTTCTGTTCATGGAGGAGGAGGGAGGTTCTTTCTGAGTAAACGTATTAATTCGGACAACAAAAAAACTATTAACTTTTTTCCTAGAAACCCATGCACGTGTAACAAACAATATGAATTTATCTGAATTTAAAGCTGCTCGATTTGCAAAGACCAAGGCTCCAGAGGTGTGAAGTCTGTTCCAAACTCAGTTGCGACCCAGTTTACCCAAGTGCCAGCCTGGCTGGAGCAGCAGCGGGGATGTTTCTGCTCCCTTGGCACAAGACCTGCAGCTGCAGGAGGTTTTCTGCTGCCAGGCAAGGGGAGGGGACCGGCCGCAGGGAGGGCGCTTTGCAGAAGTAAAATGCCTGTTACTCGTGGGCAAAAAGATTTCTTGTTCCACACTGGCAAATTGCAATTCTTATTCTGGTAGTGTTTTCCTGGTGACTCAGGATGAAGGGTGGGTTGGGGAGGAAGGAGGGGATGCATGAAAAAAGGATTCCCGTCTGGCTTAACTCTAGAGCTCTGCATATCTGCACTGCTGTTCCTCAGAAAAGAACTCTAAGGCTGCACCAGCCACCTTGCTGCTGTTAATTAATGCCTGTTGGAGAAACAGAGGCATAAAGCCATGGTGATGTTGGTCCAAAATTGTGCAGAGAGGGATTTGGGATGTAATAACTTGCATCCAATCCACGGGTACAACCTGAAGGTCCAGTGATGAAATGAAATAATTTTGGGGGAGAAGGGATGAAATACAGTCACCCCCAGGCTTGGGTTGGAGTAGGGCATTGGGAGCACACAAACGTGGTGTTAGTTATAAGCATCAGGGGATGCACAAAGATTTTAAGCTGCTGCAAACACCTCCTGTCTTTCTGTTCAGTATCTACTGCAGTGTTAGTGCTCAGTGATTTGAATTACTTCATTTTCTTCCTATTTTTTTTTTCTTTTTTTTTCCCCCCCTCTCTTTTTGCCCGTAATTCATTACACAGTCCCCTCCAATCCACCTTCTATCAGATGAAGAATTTTTAGGTCACTTTTTTGGCTCCTGCCTGCTTTATTGCTTGAGGGTAAGATGCTGTGGAGTTTAAGAGAAACGCCACTGACTAACCTTTTACATCTGCACCTTCGTCTTCTGGTATCTAAAATAGAAAAGAAAATGTTTTAGTTCCAAGATACCAAGTCAGAGCTCAGTAAAGAACCGCTGCAGGAGTGCTGGGTTTAAGACTAACTGGATAAACCCAGCTGAGTTTCGAGGAGAGCCGTGCGAGGGACCAGTGCCGCAGCTCACGTTTCCCCAGCAATCCACTTAAGTATTTTCTTGAATTAACTTGTCAGTAACAGCAGCAGGGTCAGCCTGGGAACACCAAAGGTGAATTTTATTGTTTGTTTTTGCTGTCTCCAGTGACTTTCGTCGCGTTGCTGAAAATTTATTGGTGGCAATTAATTTCTGCAATAGATGAGCGGCAATGATGCCACGCAGCATGCAACCAAGCTGAACAATATTCTCCCCCGTTTTAGCATCTGTGTCGTTACTTTGGGGTGTATTCAGTCAAACACAATGTCCAGCCATTAATTTTAGCACAAGGTAAAAGTCTGTCCTTGAGGGCCCGGGCTGCCTGCTGCGGAAATTAATTGCAGCTAATGGCTTTTCACTGGGAATTCACATCGGTGTTAAAAGAGAGAAATAAATCGTGGGGTGGCATTTGCAGGTTAAGGATGTTGCAGGTCCCTGTGCAATCCTAGTGCACATAGAGGGCTCCTGGTGGCTTCAGAGGGAATTTGGATCAACTGCGGGTGCCCAGCTGCAGCATCAGCTCTTTCCCTCGAGAAGAATGATTTTTGGCTGTGGCTCATCAATGTTTTTTTCATGTATTCCTTCTGATCACTGCAGACTGTACTATTTAGTATTTTTCCAGGGCTGAAGGATGCTGAAAAATTGTACTTTTAAGAACTGGGTCAGCTGGTAAATTCATCTCACATCAGGCTGCGGGGGCAGTGAGGAGCTACTGAGGTTAATTCAGCAGCAAAACACTTTGGTGTTCCAGGCAGACAAGCTGAGCTGGTTTGATGAAATTGGTTCAACTTCTGGAGAAATTGGAAGGTTACATCGATTTAAGTATTTGCACTTGCTGCTTGCTCAGGGTAGTTCAAAGATATTTCAGTCATGAATTTCACCAAAGGACTTTTGCCTGCCCAGAGATTTTGCATTCCTGATTTAACCGTAGCAGTCTCTGGACCTGTGTAATTAAGTTGCTTGTTGGATTACAGCTCAAGCTGCTAATGGGAGTCTCAGCATTCGAATGTGCGAGCCCCTTTTTGCCCCCTTATGCACAAATTTAAGGACAGTAGGGCCCATACAGTTTGCTAGAGTAAGTTTTCTCTATTTATAATCTGTTTTTCTTCCTTGTGGTGTAGGAAGTGTTAATTACTTCTTAGGCTAAGCTTCCTGATGAAGAAAATATGGTCACTGATTTTTCTAACAGTGGTCTTTCTCTTGGTTTGACTAGGTTCTGGTTATCTGGTTTCTGTGTAGAGGGGAGAACTAGAAGATCCATTCCCCTGAAGGACAGGGCTGTGGTTTCATGCTAGAGGAACATCTGTGGGGGGATTATGGAGGAGCCTTACGTTGACACAGAATGATGGTGATGGCCAAGGCAATGAGGAGCAGGAGGCAGGCGCCTGCCAAAGGAACCCAGATGAAGATGTCACAGAAGAAATTCATCTCTTTCTGCTCTGCAAGAATAAAAAGGAAAGGTCCACTAGGTGCTCTGGCAAAGCCAAGGGACCTTCCTGGTATTCAGCGAGGCTGGCGATGACACAAAGGGCTTCCCCTGGCCCACCAGCGACGGCCTCCTGAGCAGCACAGCCTTTTGTCAGTGCTGCTGCTGTCAGTATTTTCCTGGGGACTTGAGGGAGGACACGTAGCTAAAACTTTTGTTGTGTTCCCACTAAGGCTAAAAGCAGCCCCAGCCCCCGAGGCTCTACCCTTCCTCCATCACTTCCCAGTGTGCCCAGGCGTAAGACATGCTCCCACCTTTTATGTCATCCTTAGCCTTTCCTACATGGGGTGAGACATTGGATACAACTCTGATAAAGCCCTAAGGATTTTCCCTCCTCCCCATGCCAGAATGCCCATGGGATCCCCCTCCCCATCAGTGGACCAGAGCCCAGCTCTTCCCCTCTCCCACCCTGCAGCTGGGCTACCTGCATCCGAGGCCTCCAGGCAGGGGTCCTTTCTGGTGGTGCCATGCTGTGTGGTGGGCTCCTGGGCGGTGGGTTCTGTGGTGGTGGGGGCTATAATTGAAAACTGGATGAGTACAACATACAGGGAAACACAATAAAATAGCTCCCTCCCACCCTTCTGCTCTCCCACCCCCACCAGGGCATGGCTGCTTCTGCGGCCAGTGCAGGACTTGGGTACAGGGGGAACTTCACAGAGTCCATTTTGGATGGTGATTCCCCTAAGATGGGTCTCCTGAGACACAATAAGTAGCTGTAGGCTCCTTACTTCTACTGCTACTATCCTTCGAAAGCCTGAGTACCCTGAGGTTGGTGGGACTTTTGGGACCTATTTGGGGTGAGGAAGGAGGCCATGATAGTGGACTTTGCTTTAGTCTTATCCCATCAGAGCCATGAATGGGATGGAGAAGTGGGAATGGGGAGGCATGCTGGATCTGCCTGATCATCTTTGCCTTTGGGCAGGAGCAATACTGTGAGAAGGGATGGCAAGCAGGGAGCCTTGGGCAGGAGGGTTGGTGAGTTAGTCACCAGATGCCTTGGGCAAGCCAGCAGGGAAAATGTTTTTGGTTAAGAAGATATGGACAGGAGGTGCTGGGCATTTTGGGAGAGCTAAATGAGGTTGGGTGGAGGTGTTGCTGACCTGGGAAGAAGACAGACAGGCCAGAGCTGAAGTACAGTGCTTGGTTGATGTTCATGAGGCAGAAGTAGGACCCCTCATCCCGTTGCTCGAAAGACTTCACTACCAGCTGGTAGAAGTTGTTGTCTTTTCTTCCCTCAAAGCGTGTGGATGTTTTCTGACTCCCCTCGAATGTGGTCCGAGACAAGGCGTTGATGAAGACAATGAAGTGAAGGATCCCATCCTTGTCCTGGCGGATCCAGAATACGCCACTGTCCTCCTTAGAGGTCTGACATTCCAGTTCCAGCCGCTGTCCCGCCCGG